CATGAACACTCATAATTTCATCTAAATTAATAGTTTCATCTTTGATAAATAACAATAGTTTAGTCACCAATAATTACTGAAAATTTATAGCGAAAATACACAGTTATTGAAAATATATTGATAATGAAAAAAATACAATAAATACTAAAAATATATTAACTTAGTCAATAAATAGTATAATCTCAAATAATAGTTTAATCTCCAATAATTATTGAAAGTTTTCTATTAAATAACAAAACAAAATAATTTTATACATAATCATTGAAATTACATTTATCACAAAAAAACAATAAAAAATTACTGAAATATAGTAAATATTAATTTTAGTATATATAATTATATAATAAATATAGATTAAGATTTTAAAATTATTATTAATAAATATTAATTTTTTTGAAAGTTATTTTCCCGAATTATTACTTGATATAAGTGAAATTAGTTATTTACAAAATTATGTAAAAATATTAAATTATTATTAATTTCAATATTATGTTATAATTATTTTTCTACTTTTTAGAATTTTTTTAAATTTATTACATAATTTCTTTATTTTAACTATTTAAAATCTAGTTATGTTAAATATTTTTTATTTAAAATATTTAGTTATTTAAATGCTTAAATAAAATGTAAAATATTTAAATTTTAAAATATTAATTATTTATTAAATGTATTATCCATAAAATCATAATTTATACTATTATTAGAGAATTTCATTATTAATTTTGTAATATATTAAATTATTATTAATTTCAATATTATGTTATAATTATTTTTCTACTTTAAATAATTTTTTTTTAAATTTATTACATAATTTCGTTGTTTTAACTATTTAAAATCTAGTTATGATAAATATTTAAATAATCTATAAAATATTTAATTTTTTTGTTATTTGAGTTTTATTTATTTAAAGCTATTGCATATTATTAAATATTTGAAAAACGTTTAAATTGATAATCCAGAAAAACATAATTTAAATTGTTAGTACATAATTTTGTGATATACTTTGTGAAAATATAAAATTATTTTTGTGTTTTTAATAAATATTTTAAAGTTATTATATAATTTTGTTAGAATATTTAAATAATTCTTTAATTTTTTTATCCAAACTTTCTTTAGATAGATATAGATAAAAAGTAGGGGAGAGGATAAATAGGAATTAGAGATAATTTAGGAGAGAAATTCTCTAATAAATTAGAGATAATTTTGGAGAAAGTGGTGGAGATAGTTTAGGATAAATTTTAGAAGAAGAGATTATTTAGGTTATTGAGAAAGTACATTTCATTGGTTGTTGCAAAAATGACATGGAATGAAAAAATAAAAAAATAAAAAAAGAGAAAATTTCTTGATCGCTTTGTTTTAATATATATATTGCTTTGGCTTGCATAGAAGCAGCCTGGTTTGACTGTTATTCACAAAGCGCACCTCACACCAATCTCACAACACATTGATCCCATAATGTATTAGGAACATCTCGCATACTTATATAGTACTAGTATAAATGGGAGATGTTTCGATGCACAGGGGATGTGTCTATGAGGTCGGAGTAGATCCCTTCCTGACGAACAGATCCAGACTTCGTTTAAAACCTCTAGTAACGTATATTTTGCTTGGAAGTTGGAGTTAACATGGCAATGGGAGTGAGTCCAAATCAGCCCCCCACAACATCTCACAACACATCCCTACCGTATATTGAAAACATCTGATGATAATCCCAGAAGTGATGGTGTCATCATCGGGAGATGCTCTCAATACACGGCAAAGATGTGGTGTGGGACATTGTAGGGGGCTGATTTGAACTCGTTTGTATGGGCTCTGCACAGAGCGTGCCCCACAGCTCATCCCTTCATGTATGACCATATTTTCCATGGCAAGATGTTCTCAATTCACGGGTGGGATGGGCTGTGGGGTGCCCCATTGTATTTTTTTTTTAAATTTAAACTTAATTTTTAAATTTAATTTTTTAAGCTTAAATCTTTTGAACCGACCTACCAAACCAAAAATTGACCCAAACTGATATAACTTGAGTGATCAATCCCCCAACCTGACTAGGTCGATTTGGTTGGCCAAACAACCTACAATTGAAACGAACCAACCTGTGAATAATAGTTTAATCTTCAATAATTATTAAAAATTTATAGCGAAAATACACAATAAATTAAATTTAAAAAGCTACATAACAGTAGTTTAAACTCCAATAATTATTGAAAATTTTCTATTAAATAACAAAACAAAAATAGATTTATACATAACTATTGAAAATATATTTATCACAAAAAAACAAAAAATAATTACTGAAATACAATAAATATTAATTTTAGTATAGAAAAATATATAATAATTAAATATTAAATTTTTAAAATTATTATTAATAAACAATAATTTTTTGAAATTTATTTTCTAGAATTATCAATTTGTATAAATGAAATTATTTATATACATTATTATTTATTTATTGAAATAATATCATTATTTATATTTTAAAATATTAATTACTTGTTGAATTTAATAATACATAAAATTATAGTACTATTAATACATAGTTTTGTTATTTTAAGTATTTAAAATCTAGTTTTGTTAATTATTTCGTTATTTAAGATATTTAACTATTTAAATAAATATTTAAAATCTTAGTCTATTTATTATAATTGAAAGTTATTCAGTAACTATTTAAAATATATTATTAATTGATTTAAAATATTAATTTTAATATTTTGTTATTTAATATATTTAGTTATTGAAATATTGAACTAATATTTCATTTTTAATGTTAAATTTTTATTATTTGAATAACATTTAGATTGAATAGTCCAAAAAATCATAATTTATGTTGTTTGTACATAATTTTGTGATAAGCTTTGTAAAAATATATAATTATTTAATAATATGAATATTATTAAATCAATTATAATTATTTTTTATCTTTTTAATAAATATTTGAAAGTTATTATATAATTTTGTTAGAATATTTAAATAATTCTTAAATTTTTTAATTCAAACATTCTTTAGATAGATGTAGATAAAAAGTGGAGGATAAGATAAATAAGAATTAGAGATAATTTAGGAGAGAAACTCTTTACTAAATTAGAGATAACTAAGGAGAAAGTTGGGGATAGTGGAGAAGATTGTTTAGGAAAAATATTAGATTATTTAAATTATTGGTTCCTGTGGGAGAGAGAGAGAGATTTTAGGAAAATTTGTTTGAGAAAAATAGAATTTCTAATTGATAATTTCAAAAATAACATAAAAATAAATAAAAATAAAACATTTCTAGACTTTCTTATTGTAATATATATATATAACCAATGCTTTGGCTCACACTAACCTCACATCACATCGATCCCATAATGTATTGGAAACATCTCCCATGAATGGGAGGTACACCGGGGATGGGCCTGTGAGGTCGGGGTAAAGTATGCTATGTGAGGAGCAGTTCCTTCCCCACGAACAGATCCAGACTCCGGTTAAAACCTTTAGTAACGTGCAATTTGCTTGGAAGTTGGAGTTAACATGGCAACGGGAGTGAGTTCGTATGGGCTCCGCACTGAGCGTGCCCCACAGCTCATCCCTTCGTGTATGACCGTATTTGCCGTAGAAAGATGTTCTCAATTCACGGGTAGGATGGGCTATGGGGTGCCCCACGGCGCATTCTGTGGAGAGCCCATCCTTTCTCAAAAAGAGCATGGGACACAATAAGAAAAAAATTCCAAATCCGATGGTTGCCGTTGGAGTCGGTTCCTGGTGGGTCCCACACAATTCAAAGTGTATGCTTGAAATCCCACCTAACCTAACACACACACGCACACACAACACACACTATTGATTATTGAAGGAGGGGGGGGGGGTACTTGTTAGAGATCCTATATTTCCCCATTTGAAGCGTTCACGTCAAACTAACTTTGGCCACAACACAAATACACAACGCAATGCATCTTGCAGCTGCATACAATTCATGACCAACACAACACCAACCTTCTCTCTCTCTCTCTCTAGATCTCTGTATTGTGTGCAAACATGAGGCTGGTTGTGGAGGTCTTGACGGGGACGCTCTTTTACGTACAAGTAGACGACAATGCTACGGTGGGTGATCTGAAGAGAGAGATAGGGGCCCAGGAGAAATTGCCCGAGGATCGCTTGATCCTGGTGCTGCACAATCACAACCACCATGGCTCTTCCTCTGTGATGGTGGACGACAAACTTTCCCTCCTTGAATATGGTGTCCGAGATGGGTCCCATATTCATCTCTGTTTCTACCCCCTCGATGATGCCGCCCATTATCATTTGCTTTTCACCCTCCCTGACTCTCTTACCTGGTAGACTATATATACATTACATCTCTCTCTCTCTCTCATTAGGATCCACAGCTTACAATTAAACAGGGAAAAAAAGAAAGAAATGTATATAGATAATAGATTAATCAGATGTAAATCAAGTTTTCTGGCTACTTGTAATTTCAATTGATTAATTTTACTTTTCATAGTTTGAATTTGTGAATGTGCATGGTTTAATTTACAGAAAGGAGAAAGGAGCAGGGCCTTCTGTTATTTCACACTCTCGTTACTTGTGAGTCTGACGAGATCGTACGTTTAGAGATTAAAGCTTTCAGACGGCCGCTGTGATCGGCTGAACTGAACATGCTTTACTCGTTCAATTATTTGAATATCGTTATGAAAAAGCCCGGCTAAAAGGAGCTCGATCAGGTCCCAACAACCAGTTACAACGAGATCATATATATCATATCGTCTGTCCCCTGCCCCTGCTATAGAAAATTTTGTGGCCCGCCAAATCAATAGCAATTAATCTGCCACACCAGATTTTACATTTTACATAGAGTTTGGGCCTGCACTTTGAGTTTCAGGGTGGATTGTTGGCACACATTTTGAGTTCCGATTATAATCAAGTTGGGACTTGGGACTGGTTTTAAAATTGCAGGTAATTAATAACCTCTTATAAATTATAAAATGCCTATAATTATCATGAAACGAGGTCGAGGTGACAAAATTTCAATGACTCCGACTCACAGTACCATTGAAAACATATAGATAATCCCCATCTTCGACACCATGCCAACGGAGACTGCAGTCATCTCGCATGATCCTTTGCTTGTGGATGAAGAAGTAGTCATCTGCAGGGAGGAATTTCCCATCCAACAGTAGTCTCCTCAACTCCCTAACAGTGGAAGACTCTTTCATCTCCAATGCGATGGTTGCAGAGTTCAGCAAACTACAAGTCTGCACCACCAAGTTGATCAACTCTTTCCCTGCAGGAGGCTCTATCATCTGACGACTTAACACGACTACTTCTGATTGATTAGAGATGCCATACTCGCGTAAACAGCGCAAGTCTTCATCCATCTCTACGCCTGCCAGGTAAAGCGCCATTCTTTTAATCGCGCAGCCCTCCACTATATGAATTTTCTCCTTCAAGCTACGCACCGTTTCTGTTCTATCAACTTCTATCTTTATCCGTTTTGCTGCCATAATGACAGTAATTTGGATTTTGCTACAAGTTTCCACAGGGTATTCAATCGGTGCAATCGTAAGATGGATTCTTGTGCCATCAACAACAATCGGATAATCTTCCATGTCAAGTCCATCCATTAACTCCCACTCACATACTGCAAGAGTTTGTGAAGCAACTGGAACGCCCAAGAGTTGTTCGATCTTTTGTTTTAACTGCAGAATGGTTTCCTTGTAACCCACCTCTATGCTGAATTCACACGCTCCAGTAGCAATGACAACCCTCATTTTGATGCCAAAGCTTAATTAAAAGCACTTCAGTTTCTCTAGATCTGTTGGAAGCATATATAAAGGACGAACAATGAATTAAGTAGACAATTGCTATGTAATATTGCCATAGAACTTCATAAATTACTAAAAGCAAATAGCTAGCTAGCTAGAAATGAAAAATGGAGGAGATTCATCACATTACCTGCTCTCCACCTGGGTTTAGAATTCAAAATTAATTTGACAATTCTAAAATTTCAGAAGCTTAAATGGGAGGGCTGAACTTACAACTCAGGTTCATGACAAAAGAATGACAAGTTACTAACTACATGTATGTACTTTCTATTAATTCCTGATCTGAATGCTGTTCTTATGAAATTAACGGCTGATGCATATAGTTACAAGAGAATCATATCAGATGAGCAGTGCAGTGCTTGCAAAAATGTTCATGCTTAAATGGTTAATTTCCTTTTAAGCTTGCCACTGGGCCATTACATGATTTTTCTTCTCATGCTTTTAGATTAAGCCCAAAAGGACGGAGAAGCGTCTCAGCCTCTCAGGCTCTCTATCAAAAAACAAAGCCCACAATAATTCAAATTTCATTTAAGCTCTTGAAAATTGGAATCATCGGACCTAAAGTCTGTTTCAAGAAACCACAAACGGTGCCTCACCCAAAAGTGTTCTTTCCAAAACTAGCCATCAATCAATCAAACATTGTCCTAGTTAAAATGGCTTGAAGCCTAAGGTTATGTTTGGTTTGGTAGAAAACAAGAAAGTTGAGGGAAAGTTTCTCAACAAAATTTATGAAATTTCTATTGGACCTTCCGTTTTCTTACTTTCTATCAAACCAAACACAACTTAGAAGAAGAGAATACGATCATTTGGGTAAAGCTGGCAGAAGATGTGTGAGACCAAATTTAAGGGAGGACCTGGTTTCAGACTTTAAAAACCTTCAAATGGGCTTCGTGTAAAGTGGGTTGTGCCTGCTGGCACGGTACAATTTTGAGGGCTGTCCCTGCCTTACCGGGCCTGGGCTGGGCTGTGGGCGGGGCCATGGGCCTGGGCCAAGCCGGGCCAGGTCTTTTTTTCTCATTTTTTGTCAAGTAAAGTCTAAAAATGGTACATATTTTGGGAAAAATAAAAATGTAATAAATATTTTTAACAAAATACAAAATAGACAATAAATTGAAAAGAAAATTTTAGAAATTTTATTTCAATTGAATTTAATGAATACAAAGTAAAAAAGTAAATTGAAAAGAAATACAATAGAATATTGGAACTGGAATAAAATATCAAAATAATATAATAAAAATTTACAGTGGTATTGAAAAATAACAAATAAGTAACAACTTTTAAACAAAATTTACAATAATTTTAAAAATGCTATACAATTATTGATCTATGTCATCTGCTTCTGGTGAAATATCAGGTGAAGTGTCATGTCCTCCTCGAACTTGTAGTCTATCCTCAGTATCCAGTCAATCCATTAAGCATATATGTACATCTCCAGGCTTTCATCATTCATGCAGCATCTCTTGTCGTCAAGTACCCTAGTACTTCCCCAAAAACAGGGCGTCGGTGGAACTATAGACATTGGAAGGGTTAGTAAATCACATGCCATGGAGCAAGAACTGGATAATGTTTTCCATATTTACTCCACTAGGCTAAAATATCAAAATTATTTAATTCCTTTGAGTTGAGGGAATCAATTAAATTAGTAAAATTAGCTTGTAAATAAAAATTAAGTTCAGCAAATGAACGTGATAATGAAGTGCCATTTGACCAAAAGCCGAATTGACCTGACCATATATATATGATTTTATATCTTCAATATTTTTTTTTAATATAGGAAAGTAGGAAAATTCCTAGTTTTCTTATACTAAAATATTTTATGTCATAAATTTGTAGTTTAATAATACCACTATAATTTTTTAAATTTAAATTTTTAAGTTTAAACCTTTTAAACCAATCAACCAAACCAAAAATTGACCCAAACTGATACAACCCGAGTTGATCGACTTTCACTAATGGTCAGTCCGTTTCAGGTAACCAACTCCTCAACCTAACCAAGTCTATTTGGTTCTCTAAATAGCTTGCAACCAAACTGAACTAACCCATGAGCACCCATAATCTCAGCCAAATTAATATTCTAATCTCTAATAAATAACAATAGTTAATCTCCAATAACTATTGAAAATTTATAGCAAAAATACACAATTAATAAAAATGAATCTATAATGAAAATACAGTAAATTAAATTTTAAATTTTAAATAACAATAGTTTAATCTCCAATAATTAATAAAAGTCTTCTATTAATAACAAAACAAAAATAGATTTATACATAATTATTGAAAATATATTTATCATAAAAATACAATAAATATTAATTGTAGTATATATAAATAAATAATAAATATAGATTAAGTTTTTTAAATTATTATTAATAAATATTCATTTTTTGAAAGTTATTTTCTAGAATTATTAATTGATATAAGTGAAACTAGTTATTTACAATATTATTTATTTATTTAAATAATATCATTATTTAAAATTTAAAATTATTAATTATTTATTGAATTTAATAATCCATAAACTATAACTTATACTATTATTACATAATTTATTATTAATTTGAATATTACGAAATCTATTATAATTATTTTTATACCTTTAAATTTTTTAAATTTATTACAAAATTTCGTTTTTCAACTATTTAAAATTTAGTTATGTTAAATATTTTGTTATTTAAAAGTTTTACTTATTTAAATATTTTAATAATATGTAAGATATTTAAAATTTTTCATTGTTTGAATTTTATTTATTTAGCTACTTTTAATATTTTGTTATTTAAGATGTTTATTTACTGAAATATTTAAATAATATTTTATTTTTTTAATGTTAAATTTTTATCATTTGAATGACTTTTAATTTGAATAATCCATATAATTATAATTTATATTGTTAGTACATAATTTCATAATGAATTTTGTAAAAACATAAAAATATTGATAATATGAATGTTATTAAATCTTTTATAATTATTTTTATGTTTTTAATAAATATTTTAAAGTTATTAAATAATTTCATTATAATATTTAAATAATTCTTAAATTTTTTAATTCAAACTTTCTTTAAATAGTTACAAATAAGAAGTTGGTGACAGGATAAATAGGAATTAGAGATAATTCAGGAGAGAAACTCTTTACTAAATTAGAGATAATTTAGGAGATAAATAGGAATTTAAGATAATTTAAGAGAAAATGGGGGATAGTGGTGCCACTTCGATAGACATTAGAAAAGCAAAACCCTCTTTCTTTATCTATTGGTTGTTAAAGATAATTTAACCTATGTTATATCCTTATTGGTTTAATGGGTAATTATATGGAATTAAAATATAAAAAAATTAAAAAAATCGAAAATTAGGAAGGGGTTTGGAGTAAGAAGAGGCATGGTGACGTGGACAGCCTTGCTTTATATATATATATATATATATATAGAGAGAGAGAGAGAGAGAGAGAGAGAATTAGCGGGGACCGTGCGATGTATAGGATTTGTTAAGTGAAAGCTAAAAATAGAGTCACATAAGAGTTACAATTTTTTTATATTTTTAATTGTTTAAATAAATAATAATTATTTAGATTTTATACACTACTTTTAATAAATTTCTTCATAATAAAAAAGAACAATAATTAATTTTAGCTAGGGTTGTTCATAAAACTGATGAAACCAACCAACCCAATCAACTCGAGCCAAGTTAGTCAATTTTCTAGTATTTCCAATAGGTTTTGGTTCAATAATTTCCTAACCCAACTAGGTTGGATCAGTTTCGCTTTGGCCATTTGTAAATCGACCAAAACATAATGACTTTGGAAAGTGGGAGATAACGGGGAGGTAGTTTAGGGGAAATTTTAGGAAAAAATATTATTTAGGTTATTAAGAACGTGTGTGTAGGGTGGAGAGAGAGAGAGAGAGATTTTAGGTGAATTTTTATGGGGAAGGAAAGCATCCTCATTGGTTGTTTCAAAAATGACATGGAATAAAAAATAAAACATGAGAAAAATGAGAAAATTTCTTGACTATTGTGTTTTAATATATACTAGTGGGGACCCGTAAGGGATTTGTTAAAAAATGTGAAATAATAGAAATAAATAAAAGTAAATATACATTTTATGTTTGACAACGCAACAATATAGTATAATATCATAATAACGAAGGATTGTAATGTTTAAATTATATGATCTATAATTTATAAGAAAAAAACAATCTAGATATTATACCAAAATAATATGATTCAATAATACATTGTCCATAAACATAAAAATGCACTTTAAATTCTCTATAATTTATAGTAATGTTGAACCATCTTGACCGCCTCTTCATTGTCATTGAACCTGTGAAGTAAAAATCTTGTATACATTAATTTTTAGTTATTGAGAAAAAATTATTAATTTATTTAAAGTAGTAATTATCAATCATTATGTACCATAATCAAATCAACTCCTCTTCCGTAGTGAAGGGGTTGAAAGACAATTTTGTATTCTTCATGGTAGAAATAATGTATCATGTTGTAATGTTTAAGATATAAGAAGAGAGGTTATATTATTCAAGAAAAATGAATTTAATGTTATACTTTTATAATGGGTTACTTTCACACAACTTCCGATGACAATTATAAATTCTTTTTTTATTTTTTTAGCACGAAAATGATCAATATCTACAAATTTGTCCTATAAAGTGATCCTCATCGAAATCAACTTGCCATCAACAATACATTTCATACAAATAAAAAAATATTTAAATAAATAAATATTAAATAAACATACTATTAATCTAATAAAAGAATTTCCTTTTTTTTTTAATTTGGATACATAGGGAAGTATCACACATATAAAATGATTACTCCATTGACATCCGTATTAGATAAAAGTGTTATAAAAAAAAACATATTTTTAATATATTTAAGAAAAGAATAAAGTAAAACATATTTATAAAACCCTTTTGCTTGCATATTTTGGAATATCATCAA